TACTATCCATGATAATATTCGCCAGATAGAAGAAAAAGGTACCAATAAGCATGCCAGTGATAAGAGTCAGCCAAAGAAAATAATAAAATCAACTGTGTGTATAATAAGATAATTTATTCATCATGATTCTTCTATTTTGATGAGAAATATTGTAATAAAACTGGAAAATAAGAGTGTTGAGGTCTCTTATAGGACTATTGCATGATATTTAGGTGGTAGTGGATATTCATTTAATCTTCCCTACAAGACACCTATGGTTACTGAGGATCAAAAGCAAAAACGTGTTAATTAGGCCTGAAGACACCTTAATGACAACTGGAAAAAGATATTTTTTTCAGATAAGACATCTTTTTAACTATTTAGAAACATAGTTAAACGTTAGTATAAAGGTTCCTGATCAATTTGTCACATTCTAAAGAATCATAACAAAATTCATACATGGGGTGGATTCTACATAGGAGATAAATCATCTTTGCACTGTTTTAGAGAAATGATGAATACTGATTTTTTTATCAGAATTCTTCATAAAAATATCCTAGAGGTAAAGATGATACTTGGCAACTGGTTTTGATGATAGCAAGATAATGATCTGAAGCATAATAGCTATTATACCTGGGCTTTTCTCAAATAAAATATTCCTGAAATTATCGACTGGCTATCCTACAGTCCCAATCTAAATACTATTGAAAATTTATAGGCAATTATTAAAAGAAATATTAAGAAATGAATGCCAAAAAATCTCAATAAATTAGAGCAATTTATGGTGGAGGAATGGAATAAAATTCTAGACTTGATGTTAAAATCTTTGGTGGAATTAATGAAGAATAGGTGTTTGGAAATGATAGAAAAAAATGATGAAGCAATTTTCTTCTGATTTTTTTTTAAATAAAAGATTTATATCACAGTAATTAATCAAAAAATTTTCACATGATTTGGTGCTGTCATTCTTGAGTAATCTCGAAATTTGTAAATCTGAATTCTAATGTCACACACTATATAAAATTATTATAGTATTACTAGCTAATACTATCTAATATACAAGAGATAATTAAAGTACTATAGTATAAATAATTATAAATGAGTTATATTGAAATATGTTAAAAGATATCAAAGAATATTGAAAAATGTCAGAGTATGTGAAAAGATATTAAAAGACATGGAAAGATATGAAAAGATGTGAAAGAATAAGAAAGAATATCAAAGAACATCAAAGAATATGAGAGAATATCAAAGAATGTCAAAGAATGTGGAAAGATATTTAAGATCATTATCCAAATATAATTATTCTATCAAAATTAAAAATAATTTTTCACTATATTATTCTATTATGTACATGAATATTGTATTACAAGATAAAAATATAGATTCCAAAAATAAAATATAGTATTAAAAATAGAAACGTGATAATAAATATAGTAATAAATAATATAGAAAGACAGATGTAATAATGAAATAAATAAAATTATAATAAAATATAATATTTCATAACTAAGAAAAGATTAAGTAATTAAGAAATTTTATATTACTATGGTAACAATATAAATTATTAAGAAGTTTATATAGAATTTCTAAATAATTAGTAAAGTAATAATTTAGAATTTATATAGAAAAATAAGTTAAAGATAAATAAAATACTATTATTAAAATTTAAAATTTTATTATAATAAAAATAAAGAATAAAAATAATATCTTTAAATAAATAATTTAGAATTATATAAATTAATAATAATTATAATATATAAATATTTATATAATAATATTTCTAAAAAATACTTATTAATATATAAATATAGTAATAAAATATTATAATAAATAGAAAAAGATAATATATTTAATTATTTTAATAAAATAAAAAATAATAGAAATTCTATTAAGAATATTTTCTAAGACTAAAATAACTCAAGTAATTATATAATTATTGTTAATATAATTAAATAATTATAATATAATAAATTATATATAATATAATATTATAATCTATAAACTAATCTAATTAATTTTGTTATAATATAATTTTATAAAAGAAATCTTTTAATAAAGATTATTTAAAGTAAATCTTGCAAAAAAATAATAATTTTTAAAAAAAATAAAAAATAATATTAATAAATTTTTATAATTAATAATATTATTAATTAAAATTTTATAAAAAATATTTAATAATTATTAAAAATTAATATATTTAAAAAATTTAATTATTTAAATAATTAAAAAAAATTAATAAAAAGTAAAATTATCTTTTTAATAAATTTATTATAAATTTAATTAATAATATTAAAAACTAATTTGATATTAATTAAGTTTAATAAAAATTATTATATATTAAAATTAAATTTTATTATATATTTTAAAATAAAAAAAAATTTAAGTTATTTTATTTTATTTTGAATAATTTAAAAAAGAATAAATATAAATAATTAATATATATACTTAAAGTTAAATTAATAATATATAATAATAATAATAAGAGATTTTTATAAATAAAAGATTAAATATAGCATATACTTATTTGATATTTGTCTGATAGCTTCTTTGAATATTATTAATAATATTTTGTATTTTATATTAATTCTATTATATTAGATTATATATTAAATAGATAATAAAATAGAGATCATTCATATTATATTTAAAAATAGTAAAATTTAACTTATTATTTCAAATATTTTAATATATAATAAGAATTTTAATTTATAATTCTTTAAGAAATAATTTTATATAATTAAAAAAATAATAATTTATTTTATAAATTACTTATATTTATTATTATATTTATCTTTTTAATTACTTAATTTTTATATAAATTAATATAAAAAATCTTAAATTTTAATAAAATTTTACTATATATAAATTATTTAATCTAGCTTTTACTTCTTCTTATTATAATTATAATTCTTTAATTTAATTATTTTAAATTATATTAATATTATTTTATTAAAAATTAGATTATTTTATAATATAATTCTTTATATAATTTTTATTATAATTAATTAATGAAAAATCTAAATTAAGTATAAATTATCTTAAAATTTTTATTAATTATATAAAATATATTTTTTTATTTAAAATTACTTTTTATAAATATCTTAATTTTTATTAATAAAATATATTTAAATATAAATTTTTTTAAAAGAAAAATATATAATTTAAAAAATTATAATATTAATAATATTTAAAAAATATTATAATATTAATATAATTTTAATTTGATTTAATAGTTAATTTATTATAAAAATATAAAATATATAATAATTTTTATAATTATAAAATCAAAAATTAATTTTATTAATAAAATATAGTAAATATTAAATTTTTTTATATTAAACTTTATAATTTTATTAAAAAATAATTATATCAAAATAAAATTTATAAGTTATAATTAATATATATTTTTTCAAATTTTTTAGATTTTTTCTGAAGAATTATTCTAATTTCAGAGTTAATATAAAAACTTTATTAATTAAAAATAAAATTTAATTAATAAAAATTTTTGTATTAACTTTATAATTAAAATAATTCTTTCAGAAAAAATCTAAAAAATTTAAATAAGAAAGTAATTAAAATAAAAAGAAAAATTAATAAAATAAAAAAATAAAATTTAAAAAAGAATTAATAATAATATAAATATAATTATAAATTAAATTAAATTATTTATAATAATAATACTTTATTTAACTTAATAAATTATTAGAATTATATTATTTTTATAATTAAAATATTTAATTTTAACTTATAAATCTTAATAATTTAAAAATTAAGATTAAAATTATATTAATATATATCTTATTTTATATAAATTTTTCAGTATTTGATTAATTATAATAATTTTTCAGTTTAAAATTAAGATTAATTAATATAAAAAGAGTTAAATATAAATAATTCAAGAAAAAACTTGATATTTATTTAATATTATATTAATTATTTAATATTTTATTTTTAATTATAAATTCTTGTATTATTAAGAAGAATATTATTTTATTTATATTTTTAAACTTATAATTTTTATTTTTAATTATATAAAATAATTACTAAATTAAGAAATTAATATACTAATAATTTTATAATACAAATTTAGTATGTAAATAAGCAAATTCAAATATTTCTATAATTATTATACTTGAAAATACAGAATTAAATAATAATAAAGAGGTATAATTATAGAGTAATTTTTTATTATAATTAATTAGTAATTGAAAAACTCAAAAAGAATAATTATAAAAAAAATATATTATATAGAAAGATATAATTATAGAGAGATCTAACTATATAAAAAGGGCAAAAGAGGCAAAAAACAATGCAAAAAAAGGGGATATATTTTTTATTGTCACTATATTATATTATAAATTGTGAACTTTAATAATAGATAAATTATTATATTCTATTAATATAATTGATTATCTGATATATTACTAGTTATTGTATATAATTAGTGATTTCTAACTATATTTTGAGTTAAAATAAAAAATATTTTAATAAAATTAAAAAATTTTATGATAAAAAATATGTATTTCATTAATTTTATTAATTATAATTAGAAAAAACTCACTAAAAAAGTAAAAAATTAATTTGTTTCTTTCAAATAATTTTCTAAACATTCTCTTATATTTATAAAAAGTTAAATTAATTCTTTTTCTAATAAAATTTAATAACTTTAATTTATCGGATCTTTCAAATTAAATTCAAAAATTTTCAGATTATTAATAAATTCTAAAATATTTTTTAAATAAAATCTAACATACTTTGATTATGAATAGAATATTTTATTTTTTTGAGAATATTCTATTATAATAAATAATGAAATAGTAAATTGAGATTTTCTTTTTTTATATTAAAATTTATAATTTATATAGAAATATGCAGCTTTAAATAAAAAATTTGCAATTTAAAATAAAATATTTAATGTTTACGGCCGTAAATTCGATATTGATTAATATATGAATCATAATTTTCTGCTTCGATATAGAGCACTTCTATAAGAGCATCATAATGTTCAGGCATGATATTCATCGAGGAAGCCAAGAAGATCCTAATAGAGCTGTATCCTTTTCTAAATGAAGCTAGTATCTTAGAATGTAAAAGTATAAGAGATGACTTTAAAATAATTTCTTCCAGTTTTTGTAAAAATAGTTTAATAATTTACCTCTTGAGCAGTATTACCGCCTTTTTTACTTAAAGTGACAACTTTTTTCTCCTTTCTAATTTCTGAGAAAGCATTTGTATTTTCAAGAAGTTGAGGAATAAATTCGCCAATTTGGTGATTCATACCTCTTGATTTAAAGTAATTCTCCACTGAAAAAATTGAAAGTTATAAATTCTTAGAATACTATATCAGAATTATGACGAAAAAAAACATTACACTTACTCCCAATTGCAATACGTCGTACAGCATTATTATTAGAATTTACATGTATAATAACATCACCTTCCACAGTTTCAATCCATCCGCCTGGTTTCGTTATTCGTAACAATTCAGGAATAACTTTTTCTTTCCACTGCTCTTCTGTATATGATACAGACATAAATTTTTGGTGTGTAAAATCAAAATAGGCGTCTTCAAAAGGTGAACCGTCTAGTAAGTTACATCTAACGAATTTTACATTCACAGGAAGACCTTCTGTTGGAAAGATTGGTGAAAAATCTATTCCTACAAAGTTTGAATTGGGATATTTTTGCGCCATGTCCTTGATTTTTTATGATGTAAATACGTTGGTTTAGGATAATCGATTTTAACAAAGCGAAGTTGGGAATATTTACCAAAACCCATGCTCCCGGTCCACATCTAATATTAGATTATTTTTAATTATATAAATATATTAAATAGGTAAAAATTCAAAGAAAAAATTATTTGATGAACTACCCAACATCAACAACTTCAGCTCCCTGTCTCAACTTCTCTTTAACCGGCGAATAAAATAAATCTCCCCAAATATTCTTTACCGCTTAGAATACCAGAAAATAGAATCTAATCAGATTAATAGTGACAATTGCTTGTTTACCTCGAAGCAAATAATAACTACCTTTATGAACTTGCAATAAACGATCAGCCTCTTCATCATCATTCGGAATCATATATTCTGAATTAGAAACATCATGGTATCGTCTACCGTCGATATAACGAAACCTAAGATGTTCTTCATTATTGTGTCTAGAGCAGCAGGAGCCCATTTTTTTTTAGCAATTCATAAAGAAATTAATTACATCTGAAAATATCAAGGAGAGTTAGAAACTCAAAATGTAGTGAGCGTTAGTTGTGCTAATTTGTAAGCATTACGTACGCATTCGGTTAAATTCCTTAAACGAACGATCTTACATAATGAAGCGATTAAAATCATAAATGTATTGATAAATGTATGCTAACAGTTCCAGGTAGTCACATTGAATTACCATAAATCGTTGTTCTGTATAATATCGTATTCTCGGGTCAAACAAATGTATAGTATCGGTAGTATTCATTATACTCTTATCCTGAGCCAATAGTTAACTTTTCTGATGTGTAGTATTGTTACCGTAGTACATGTACATGTAACAGTAAATTTCATAACCTTAATTTTTCCTTAGATTCCTTAACATGGAAATCTTCGTAATAATTAACACCCGTAATAATTAACTTTTTAATATTTAACACTTCGTGACTGGACAAAAGTTTGGAATCGGGGGTGATCGACATAAATAAAGGGGTGAGTTGCATCGTTATTTGTGCAACTCACAGACGTCCAATTTTAACGTTCAATAGCTCTTTAAAAAGCTAAAATCATAAGTTTTAAAACGAGATAAAAAA